CGGAGCGGGCGCCTACGGCTCTTGGGGCGGGCGGGACTCCTCCAGCAATCACCCCCCCCAGCAGAGACACTCCCTGTGCCCTCCAGCATCCCTCGCCCCGCCCTCAGCTCTGGCTCCCTGAGTCTGCAGCAGCTGCACGGCGCTGTCTTTCACCCTGGTGCAGGCGTGGGATCTCTGTCCCGCTGGAAAGGGGCTGTCTGCCCTCCTGGAGGAGTCTCCGTCCCTGGGCAGTGCCTCTGCCTGCCTTCTGGGCAGCGTGCGAGACGGGAGACTGGGCACCGGGCTTGCAGCATCGCCCCGCCCTCAGCTCTGGCTCCCTGAGTCTGCAGCAGCTGCACGGCGCTGTCTTTCACCCTGGTGCAGGCGTGGGATCTCTGTCCCGCTGGAAAGGGGCTGTCTGCCCTCCTGGAGGAGTCTCCGTCCCTGGGCAGTGCCTCTGCCTGCCTTCTGGGCAGCGTGCGAGACGGGAGACTGGGCACCGGGCTTGCAGCAGGGTCAGCAGAGGGGCTGTGTCTAGACTACATGGCTCTGTCGGCAGAGGCATGTAGATTAGACACATAGGCAAAGGCAAATGAAGCCGCGATTTAAATGATCGCAGCTTCATTTACATTTACATGTCTGCCGCGCTGAGCTGATCAGCTGTTTGTCCGCTCAGCGCGCTAGTCTGGACACTCCCCTGCCGACATCAAAGCCCTTTGTCGGCAGCCCCGTTATTCCTCCTGGAATGAGGTTTACCGGGGCTTCCAACAAAGGGCTTTGATGTCGACAGGGGGAACGGCCAGACTAGCGCGCGAGCCGACAAACAGCTGATCAGCCATGTAAATTTAAATGAAGCCGTGATCATTTAAATCGCGGGGCTTCATTTGCCTTTGCTGAACAAACAAATTGACATGGCTCCGTCGACAGAGGCATGTAGTTTAGACGTACCCAGGGTGTCCTGGGACGGAGTCCCCCGTGGAGGCAAGTCATGTGCACTCGGGTGCTGTGCACCATTGGGAGCTGGACACTGGCAGCAGCTGATGGAGAGGCTGCCAGCTGCGCCGGGCCCTCGCAGTGCCACCCAAACTCCCTGCACCTGTCTGGGCACCCCTCGCAATGCCACCCGCCTCATGAGGCAGGGCTGAAGGAGGCCACTCCCAGCACCTCCATCAGAGCCAGCTGGGGGCAAGCGGGTCAGATGTAAAGGCCGCCAGAGAGCAAAGCTCTTCCACACCCCCTCAGCCTGGTGCGGTGCCTGTGTCTCTGGCACAGTGTGGCTCTCCGGCTCTGGGCAACCGCACCGAGGGGCAGCAGTGCCCTGGGCAACCCCTTATGCCAGCTACGTGTAGACAGCAGTAAGGCCTAGTGGAGCGAACATTGGCCTGGGGCCCAGCAGGCCAGAGCTCTATTCCTGGCTCAGCTGCGGGGTGACCGTGAGGAGTCACTTTCCCAGCTCTGGCCTCAGCTGCCACCCCAGTGAAAGGAGGCTGATGTCTCTGGGACGTGCCGGAGATGCGTGGGCGGGGCGGAGGAGTGTTTCAAAGCTGCTTCCCGTAGGGGGCTCTGGCTGCAGCCAAGCCAGGCCACGGCGGTTGCCACGCACACAGGGGCAAGCGGTCACATGGGCAGAGCGCGGAACGAGGCCCAGGGCATCTGAGAACGTGGGCCTGGGGGCAGAGCATGGGCTGGGAAGATGCTGAGCTGGAGACGGGGTGAGACTCTTAGCAGCCTCTGGGGCCGAGACCACGTGGCCGGCAGGAGCTGCGCCTGCTGCCACGTGTGCTGGGGCTAAGCCAGGCAGCGGCTGGGGAGAGCGCCAAGCTGCTGGACGGGGAGGCGAGTGACGATCTCCAGTCTAGTTCTTTCACTCGGGGGGTTCCCAATAGCTCTCACGTTGGCTCTGCTGCACCTGGTGCCATCAGCTGGAGCAGGGTTTGGCCAGCGCCGAGTGGTCTGGGGCCTCCTGTAGGCTGATGTCCTGCCCCATGGATCCAGGCCACTACCCCCCTTGCAATGGTGCCTTGCCCCATGGGCTCAGCTCCACGGATGCCCCTGGGGAAGGCAGCTCTGAACAGAGAATTGCCCATGGCAGGGCACCACTGGGCACGAGTGGCAGCAAGTCCCCTCCCGCCCACCACAGAGGGGCAGCCACTCCGGGCAGCATCAAGTCTCAGGGGCTGGTGGAGCAGCAGCAAGGGGCTCAGATGACACCACTGGAACCAGGGCAGGAGCTGGGGTGTTGGCCTGGAAACTGGGGGGAGGGAGGGTCAAGGCCTTAGTAAGAGTTTCACTTTGACGCTGCAGCTTTGATACACCGGAACTGCACGGAGTCCGGCTGGAGCAGACCCAGCCCCCCCTACAGCCAGGCCTGCGAGCTGGACGGCAGCAATAAGGACACCGAACCGTCCAGCAATAAGGACACTGAAGCCAAGGCAAGTGTGGCTGGGGCGGGGG